CTGTTTAATGCCACTCAGCGGGTGTTGCATTGCTTCAGTCCAAAAGAACTTAAATAAAAATCGCCCATCCATAATTTTTGCGCTCACTGTTGTAAACAGAAGCAGTTCCGGGGCAATGACGTATGAGGTCGGCTTTGCGCATGTGCCGCTCAGAAGTGACATAAGGAAACTTTGCTTCCTTTGATCCTGTAAACAAAAGTTGGTTTTCATGAGACTCAACGGCTCATGCGCAACACTGACCTCATGCGTCATGCTCCCGGAACTGCTTCTGTGTACAACTGTTGGTGCAAGCTGAAAAAGTGATTATTACGTTTTGAATATGGATATTTTTCTTACAAAAATGCATCGATTCGCTACAGAAGGCCTTTGTTCACCCCCCGGAGCCATGTGAGACACTTTTTTTTTATGGATGGGCGATTTTTATTTAACTTCTTTTGGACTGAAGCAATGCAACACCCGCTGAGTGGCATTAAACAGCTTGAAAGATCAAAGACAATTTTTAATATAACTCCGACTGGATTCGTCTGAAAGAAGAAAGTCATATACACCTAGGATGCCTCGGGGGTGAGTAAAACGCAGCTTAATTTTCATTTTTGGGTGAACTAACCCTTTAAGGTAATTAAACTAGCTAGCAGTCAACGTGTCTTCAAAGAAAGATGTGACGCTATGTTTTAAAGTAGGCCACGGTAACCGCCCCCTTAGATGCCCAGAGCCTCGGAGAGGAAAGAGTGGCGAGAAATGGAGGGCAGAGGAAGATCACTCACTTGTTAGAGACACATTTTTCTTGGTAAAGACAAATTCCTTCTGAGGCAGTTTATTCAGTGGCCATTTTGGTAATGCTAGTTTCCAATCATGCAAGTTCAACTCCTATCTACTTAAATAGGGAGATCGCCAAAACTGTTTGCCAACCATTCAAAAAATGTTCAAATCACCCAGAAACAATGATACAAAAATCTAAATTTAGCTTCTTTAGCTATAAATATCAGGTTAGTCTAGCTAATGTGCATGCAAGTTCAAAAACAGACCAAGATGCCTTAAGGCGATTGGCTGTTATCTCTGATAAGGTCAACAAATAAATTACTTGCAAATGTGTATAATATATGAACCTAGACCAACTTTCAACTCAATCAAGTCACAGAGGAACAACATGACTATCCCAAAACGGACATCAAATCTGAGCTTCATCTACTTCTATAAAAATCCAATATATGGGTACTAATCCACTGTTGGATGATAAAATAACTTCAGTTTTCAGTCCTTCTCATTTCCTAGAAAAAGAAACCAGTGACACTGACCTAATTAGGTTCTTTCTTTATGCAGCAGTACGGAAATGTAGGAAGATCGACTGCTTTTCTTCATTCTGGAGTTGAAATTCACCTCATGTGCAAACCAAGACTATAGTCCAAATAATATTTCACTCTACGACAGCAGAGCATAAACCTGAATTCCTTTCCTACATACACCGCATTTACATGGTGCTTTGCAAATGGCAATGTTTGCTACATCTGTGAACATGACTGTGAAAATGCCTATTCATGTCAGTTGCCTGAATGATATCCAGAGGAGGACCAATAAACAACTCATAATAAGACAAGTGAATACGGGCTCCAATCAGGCAACACCATGACTGAGGGCTTGAACCAAAAAATCGTGAGTAATACTAGCGCTAGCAAAAGAGAAGCCATTAAAGTAAGATGCAACAAAATGCTACAATATCTTTCATTGTGACTCACACCCCATGCTATAAAAGTGCTTTTCCCATAATGCCTTCTGTGCTCATTAGGATCAGGGAGAGCGTATGATACGCAAAATAATAAAGTTTATAATAAAAAAAAAATTGACTTGGGTGGGGTTTCATAGGAAGCTCAAATGTTGTTTCGCTATGAACATGCATGTGATCCTAAAGGAGAAAAACTGCCCCGTCTTTTAAAAGCAAATGTAGTGCAATGCCTCAAACAATAACAACTACATAAGCTTAGAAAACAACAGGATCTTTTCATCAACCATGGGCAGCTTCATCCACAAACACGCATTCACACGCATACACACACACACACACACACACACACACACACACACACACACACACACACACACACAGTGCGTTTCCTGTTCCTCACCAATTCCCATCACCCCTCACCCCAATTCACAACACAATCCTCCCATCCAGACTCCTGCAGACAGGCGGTCAGTAGTTGTCTCTTGGCCAGGCTCTCGTGCGCTGGTGGTTGTTTCGTTGGTTGTGTCCGTCCTGCGAGTCTCGCTGCTGCAGGAGCCGGTCCTGTGACTCGTGTCCGTTAGCGCTGTGGATTCCACCAGGGTGATTACGGTTGGGCGGATACACATCCCGGTATGGGTGAGGGTGGCGGTGGGGTTCGTAATCATCTTCCTCCTCTTCCTCCTCCTCTTCCTCCTCCTCCTCCTCGTCTTCCTGGGGGTGCAGGGAGCTAGAGCCGCCTCGACGGAGGGAGCGAGAGTCACTGGCCTCGTCGGAGGGCATGAGGCTGTCCTGCTCCCCCTGCTCCTCCTCCTCCACTCCCCCTCCACCCCCGGCAGGCGACAGCTGCTGGTTCTGAGACAGAAAGAGAAAGATGACAACTCTGAACCATATTGAGGTCACATGTTTCCTCTTTCTGTTTCACTCCAAAGAAAAATGTCTCATTTAGGAGATCCCATAAAGACAAAAAACACACAAATATAAAACACAATGTGCACAGAGGTGAAAAGACGTTTTAGGAGATAAGTCTTACCAATGAGGAAATTTTAAGTGACTGGGTGCTATGGCTTTGTTCATACTGCACATAAATCGGACTTGTTTTTTAATCCAATCTTAAGGACTGACTGTCCAAACTGTCATAATCTTTGAAAGTGGTTTGGATTGGGTTTGTCAAAAGTGATTAAGCTGTTTAGACTGAATGGATTTGAGTCACATGTGGCAAGAATCAAATTTTTGCTGCCTGTCTGAACAAAGCCTTTAGGTTCTAGGTCTTAAGATCAAACTGCTGTGCATTACAGATTGCTATGCATTTTCCTCTGGAGCAAAAAGATTCAGGTTAGTTTCAGAAACAAGGAGGTTGCATTCAAAGGGAAGTTAGAAGGGTTGTTACATTCACAAAGCATCAGTCTGTGTGGCCAGATACAGCCTCTTTTCCAAAGTCATAAAATCAACAAGTTTCTTTATAACACAGGAAAACAGGCAGCTGTATCTGCTTTGTGAACTCATGAAGGTTCTATGGTGTTAATATCAATCAACAAGGTGCATAAACAGAGCAGTCAGAGATGACTGTGTGTGCAGCTCGCTCTAATCCCAGCAAATTAAGCGAAAAGTGTAGAGGGGTAAGTGCATAACACGATAGAAATCATTGAAAAAGTAGGCCTTGTCAAATGGAAAGTTTGCACTGCCATATGGAAGTTTGCATCATTTGACAGAAAAAGTTTCAATGAGGAGTGAAATGGATGGCTAGGAAGTGCCAGAAAGCATGTGACTATTGCCCTGAATTTAATCCAGTTAATTTCTGACCTCCAACCCATAGAAATGCTGTTTACACTTTTACAAACTCTGCCTCCACCTTTAGAAATTCTGCCTATACCTTTAGATGCGCCACCTACACCCTTACCTTGCCAATGCTGCCTACACCATTAGAAACATTGTCAACACCTTAAAGCCCAAAACACACAGCATGATTTTAGCAATCCAATAAGATCACTGCATGTCACACTGTGTGACATGGATCTAATAAACTTGGCTACAACGTGTGTAGACTGTATGATGACTCGTACGCTACGACACATGTTACTATAAAAGAATAAAGCGTCATCAGCATGTGCTAGTGGTAAACAAAAAGAGCATGATAAATCACACTTTAGCAGTTGTATTTATGTGTGCTGAAAAAAAGTGGAAGCGGCGAAAGAGGAAGGGATAAGAGCTTGGGGTAAGCGGTTTTATGTTTTAGCACCATGTCGCGTTGATTTCATGTCACATTTTTATTGGTTGGTCAGTAAACGTGGATCATACCAGCAAACACACGGTGTGATGATCATGCTGTATCGTAGGCTATCTTTGGTCGCAAGACCGAGACAACGGCCGTCTTTGAACCTCTCACTGTACGACACAGGACCAACAATTAGGAGCCACGATCACAGAAATCGCCACGATTCTTTTACGTTGCCAATCTTTCGTCTAGGACAGCCGAACATTGTGCAGTGTGTTTAGGGCTTAAGACAAGCTGCCCACACCTTTAGAAATGCTGCCTAAACCATTACAAACACTGTCTACTGCTTTATAAAAGCTGCCTTCTCCTTCAGGTATGCCGCCTACACCCTTTCAAATGCTGCCTACATCTTTACAAATGCTGTCTATACCTTTACAGATGCTGCCTACACCTTTATAAATATTGCCTACACCTTTACAAATGCAGCCAAACATTTAGAAACATTGCCTACACCTTAAGACAGGGGTTCCCAACCACATTCCTGGAGCCCCCCAACACTCCAGGAACAAGGTTAGGAACAGTCTAACCCAGGGATAGGCAACGTCGGTCCTGGAGTGCCAATGTCCTGCAGAGTTTTGTTCCAACCCTAAAAAAAAACCTCATCTGCCTGTAGCCTAGCCGGTGATCCTGAAGACCTTGATTAGCTTGTTCAGGTGTGCTTGATTAATGTTGGAGCTAAACTCTGCAGGACTGCGGCACTCCTGGACCGACGTTGCCTATCCCTGGTCTAACCACTGCCTTAAGACACATTGCCTACACCAGGGGTAGACAAGTTTGGTCCTAGAGAGCCACAGTTCTGCAGAGTTTAGCTCCAACCCTAATCAAACACACCTGAACAAGCTCATCAATTTCTTCAGGATTACTAAGGCTACAGACGGGTGAGATTTCTTTCAGGGTTGGAGCTGAAATCTGCAGGACTGCAGATTTCCATGACTGAACTTGCCTACACTATGTGTCAAATTCTGGTCCTGGTGGGCCACTGTCCTGTGGAGTGTAGCTCTAAAACACCTGCCTGGAAGTTCCTAGAAATCCTGAGAACCTTGATTAGCTGGTTCAGGTGTGTTCAATTTGGGTTGGACCTAAAATCTGCAGGACAGTGGTCCTCTAGGAACTTAATTTGATACCCCTGGCCTACATCTTTAGAAACATCTTTAGAAAATCTCCAACCCTGCTCCTGGAAAGCTACTGTCCTGCAACCTTATTCGAACGCATCTGAAGTTCTGAACCAACTAATAAAGGTGTTCAGGGTAACTTGAAAACTACAGGCAGGTGTGTTTGATTGGGGTTGGAACTGAAGTCTGCAGAAAGGTAGCTCTCCAGGAGCAGGGTTGGAGACCTCTGGCCAACATGTTTGCAAATGCAAAATGTCTACACCAGGGCTTTCCCGCAGGGTTTAGCTCCAACCCTAATCAAACACACCTGACCAAGCTAATCGAGGTCTTCAGGATCACTATAAAGTCACAGGCAGGTGAGTTTAAACAAGGTTGGAGTTAAACATGGACCTCAAGGGCCTGAGTTGAGAATCCCTGGTCTACACCTTTAAAAAAACCTGCCTACATCTTTACAAATGCTGCCTACACCTTAGACCCAGTGTCTACACTTTAAGATGCACTGCCTGCAGCTTTGCAAATGCTGCCTACACCTTTAGGAAAGCTGCCTACACTTTAAAGACATGCTGCCTACATCTTTACAAACGCTACCTACATCTTAAAGATGTAATACCTACACCACTTGAAATGCTGCCTACACATTTATGGCTCGTTTCCACCAAGTGGTACGGTTCAGTACAGTATTGCAATTATTTCCATTTTCATTGTCAGAAGTTGTGAATGGTACTAAAATAGCGAATGGTACTGTACCACTTTTTTGGGACAATTTCGTTGGGGCACCTAGAACAGTAGTCCATTACCTAAAGGGTGGAGCTAGATTTATTGCAGAACGTTGATTGGTTGACAGAGAATCATCACTTGCATGTGCTACAAGGGGAATGACAACAACAAGGGGAATGAAGCGCCGCCTTAACTCCACCATGCTGCTCATGCGTGTTGGGCTTGTTTACATCAGAGTGCGCAAGCACAAAAATATAACGGTGTATTTTAGAATTTTATATTTTTACACACATACAGTGTCGCGCTTTCTTCTTCGAACAAGAATGATGACGATCACTACGGTACTGTTGGCAGTGGAAACGAAAGCCAGATCAGGGTGTACCATCCTGAATCATACTATACTGCACTGTACCATACCGCTTGGTGGAAACGAGGCTTTAGAAACATTGCCCTCACCTTAAGACACACTGACTACATATTGAGAACATTTGAATGTATTTTTGGAAGAGTTTTCTTAACAATAAAAATCATTTTAAGGCCTGCATAATTTTAAACATAAAGCTTTTGTATTACTCTCTTTTCCCCACTGGGCAAATGGCATTGCCACATAAAAACTATGAATGGGCTACATGTTTCACCAACAACAGCATAACAAAATCATATATTTGCATATATGATTTTGTTATTTTAAGAGCTTTTCCAATGGGGATACCAGATGGCCATTTCCATTTGGAGGTATTGAAGGAATTGGAGGATGTAAAGAAGTATCAGGGTGGGGTTTTGTTTAACAGTCTGAGTGGGAAAGCAGTCTGACCATCCCACCTACTCACCGCAGGTTTGTAAGCGTTCATTCAATTAATTCCTGTGTTTCAGAGAACTGCAAAGATGTCAGGCATGAATGAGACACAGAACAGACAGATTGAGACTTACAACATATCAGTATTACAAGCATCTCTGGACCCAAGACAACTTAAAGACAAGAGAGTGAAAATATGGAGTAGAGGAAAGGACAGAACAGACAAATGTTTAATGACCACTTTCCTGTTGTCAAAAAGAACAATTATCAGTTTTAAAATTAATCTGTTTTATTAAACACAACATAGGATTGACCAATTATTGCTTAAAGCAGAACAGTATAATGGAGTGAGACGTTTTGAATATACAGGGGGCTCCAAAACTCTGAGAACTGTAGTGCCAATAACTTTATTTTGCATTTTTTATTTCCACAGTGAATGTCTACCTTACAAACTGTGTCCCATATTCAAGTGAAAATCAGTTATGACCTGAAACCATTTTCTGTGAAACTGAAACTTTCTTACTTTCGAGGTCAGCTGTATAATTTGAATGAATTTGATTGGATCTTAGATACGGTAGATGCAGACATGGATCTACACATTACAAATATAAGATATATTTCTCAAAGCTGATACAAATACCATCTATATTCTGGATGATTATGTTTAGCACAGTCTCTGGACTACTTTCCTGGCTGATTGATGAGGACACATACTAAGTCTGGTAGCCTCTGGTCTAACTAGGTCAGTGCATATGTGACTGCAAACCTCAATCTTGTTTCTTTTTTAATAATGTAGTTGTCTGCATTTTTAAATAAAAAGGACAATATTGAATATTTATGATATATTCATGACAATTTTGTTGGCTATTGTGAATATCGTGATTTAGTATGCTATTAAGCTTCCTTAAAATGTAAATGTAAATTAAAATAAATTTGAAATAATAAATAAATAAAATTGATTATCCTGAGAGCCAAAGGCGCATGCAAACTAACATATTGCTCTCTCTCATATCTTTATATTAAAACTCTTTAAATGTTTCCGCCCATCCACACAAAGCCACCTTACCTGTAGACTGGAGACTGCTGAGGGTGGGGTCATCAGATTTTGCTCCAATAGAGGGTTGAGAGGGGTGGTGCCGGGCAGATGAGTGGCACGCCAGTAGACCTCCAGATATTCAGTGAGGTGCTCACAGGCGTCCTCTAACTGGTTCTCATCCAAAATGACATCAAACATCTCCTGATGGGGAGACAGGGTGGAGGAGAAGATGACATGCGGGGGATGGAATTAGAAGATATTATATAAAATATCTTGTGATGGTGGTCAGATGATGGGAGATGACGTTGAGCGACAGGTAGGATAATGGCTCTATGGAACAACATGCATCATGACTTTTGTCAGAATGTGGTTTGGAAAAGCAAGCGTCTGCATCACTAGAACTGTAGCAAGGCCAGTCAATCAAGTGAGAATGAAGAACCTTTAAAGGGTTAGTTCACCCAAAAATGAAAATTAGGCTGTGTTTTACTCACCCCCGAGGCGCTTGCGCCAACAGTTGTACACGGAAGCATTTCCGGGAGCATGACGTATAAGGTCAGCAATGCGCATGCGCCGGTGAGTCTCATGAAAACCAACGTTTGTTTACACATTTTTGGGTGAACTAACCCTTTAAAATGACACCAGTTCGCTAACAATGTACCTTCATTTCCAAATAACACACAATAAAAAAGACAATGTAGTCAAACAGATGTGCCCTAAATTGAATGCCCTTAGTTCTCATTTTGGCAATCCTCAACTAATCAGGTATATTTATAATAGGACAAACAGCTAAATTATGTTATTTTGAATAGGTCATCAAAAAAATTTACATTCTGTTGTCATTTATGAACCCTTGAGTAGTACCAAAATGGGAGAAATTTAAAATAATAAGTACTAGTTACTCTTTTCCATGAGATTGCAATGAATGTGTACTTTCAGGCTTCAAAAAGGAAAAAAAAGCACCAAATAAGTCATCCTGTGTTTTTTTTTTAAGTTTTCTAATCCAGTAGCTTTGCATGAGAAAAAGACAACAAAGGTTGTTATGAAAATAGTGACATCCACCCTGGCTCTTATTGGTGAGGCTTCATGAAAGAATATTCAGAACTGGTTTTGTAAACCAAATTAACCAATTTATTACAAACATCCCTGAAAAAGATGATACTTTTATGGTGCTTTTGTGTCCTTAAAACCTGAAAGCTCCAGTCCCTATTCCTTGTAATTGCATGAAAAAGAGCAATCATTACAGTTTCTCAAAATATCTGTGTTCCAGAGAACAAAATGAGGAGGAGTATTTTTAAAAAAATTTTTTTTAGTACCTCTTTTGGTATATAATGTAAAACCTTGGCAGCCCTAAAAACTTCAGCCTATCTTCTTCTTTTGTAAGGGAAGGAAATATTGTAAAATGCCAAAACTATTAAATTATCTATAAGAATTGGATCCTGACAACATTACCATACTAACACTAATGTTGAATCTACAGAGTTCTGAACACCTCCCTAAGGGAAGCGTGTGTGTGTGTGTGTGTGTTTAAACTTGAAGAACTTACAGGAGGACATTGAGTCAGTTTATCTGCTGCCATCATCTGAACATTGAGGTGTTTGCTTTGTGATTTACCCCTCGACTTTATCAATCGCTGTAGGACCTGCCAAAAAAGAAGACGAATGAGAATCAAAGAAACTGGGTTAGTTTTGACAATGAAGGATTTATTTTGCTGCTGACAGATGTTTTTTTTTTTTTATATATTTTCAGCATATTCCTTAAAATAGTGCACACAAGCTCATCAGACTCACCTTTGGAGAGGTGACCTTGACGTACACAATAATAGGAGCTAACGAGGTTTTAGCTAGTTGCGCTGGATGGTTAATGGTGTCTGCATCTAGAACCACCAATTGAAGAGTTTTGGCCAGCTCAAATATTCTCTCGATCTCACTTTGTACTTCCGCTGAGTGGGCAAACAGACAAATAGCATCCACAAAACACAAATCCCAAGAAAAAGTAGGGAGAAAATGCTCAAAAGCTCAAATGTATTGACAGAGCTCAACAACACAAGTTTTTTTAACCTATTCTGGCAACCTATTCTCATTCTTAAAGGAACACTCCACTATTTTTGAAAATAGGCTAATTTTCCAACTCCCCTAGAGTTAAACAGTTGAGTTTTACCATTTTTGAATCTATTCAGCCGATCTCTGGGTCTGGCGGAAGCACTTTTAGCTGTAGCTTAGCATAGATCATTGAATCTGATTAGACCATTAGCATCTCGCTCAAAACTGACCAAATAGTTTCTATATTTTTCCTATTTAAAACTTGACTCTTCTGTAGTTACATCGTGTACTAAGACCGACGGAAAATGAATTTTCAATTTTCTAGGCCGATATGGCTAGAAACTATACTCTCATTCTGGCGTAATAATCAAGGAACTCTGCTGCCGTACCATGGGTGCAGCAGGCGCAATGATATTACGCAGTGCCTGAAAGTAGACTAACTTCCGTCAACATAACCAACGTGACCACCTGCTTGCACAGGGAGCGTGCTGGGGACTATTTTCAGGCGCTGCGTAATATCATTGCACCTGCTGCACCCATGGTACGGCAGCAAAGTTCCTTGATTATTACGCCGGAATGAGAGTATAGTTCCTAGCCATATCGGCCTAGAAATACGCCAGACCCAGAGATCGGCTGAATGGATTCGAAAACAGTAAAACTCAACTGTTTAACTCTTAGGGGAGTTGGAAAATGAGCCTATTTTCAAAAATAGTGGAGTGTTCCTTTAAAGTTTTAACACAACCTAACATATTTAAATCAGCAGAATTTGCAGTAACAGTTTTCAGTACATCACATAAAACCAATTGTTTAAGTATGCAAGATCAACAAACTGGTAATCAGTGTTGGGGGGTAACGCATTACAAGTAACGCGAGTTACATAATCAGATTACTTTTTTCAAGTAACTAATAAAGTAACGCATTACTTTTTAATTTACAAGAGAATATCTTAGTTACTTTTTCAAATAAGTAATGCAAGTTTTTTCCAATTTATTAATTGACAGCTCTCCTGTCCCCATGTTGAGAGAAATCAGAAGATGTTACTGTAGTTCTAAAATAAATATGAATAGTTACTTTTTTAGGGAGTAACGCAATATTGTAATGCATTACTTTTAAAAGTAACTTTCCCCAACACTGCTGGTAATTGACGTTCCAGGTGATGTTACGGCCTTGGGCCATCTTTATTGTTGAGCTCTGAAGGGTGTGTGTGATGTTCTCACCCAAACTGGTTCGTGTGTTAGACCTCTCCATGATGGGTCTCTTGTTGAGAACCGATCTCTTGGCCAAAGAAAGGTCAGCGGTCACCCGGGTTATAGAAATCCTGTCAGCATAACAATACATTATTATATTTAATGATGTGAAAGAAAGATTCCTCGGCCAAAGCTATCGTATGCTTTCAAAAACATGGAACATAATCACACGAGTTGTATTGACTATATTTATGAGCTTTCTGGAGCTTGGCAGACCCTGTCACCATTACATTTCATTGTAAAGACATAGAAATTAGTAAATGTTGACAATATTCTTCTGTGTATACAGAGAAGAAAGGTGTCAAGATGTCTTTTAAAACTCACCGCCCATCAAAGCGATGTTTGAGAAAGTCAAACAGGGCTTTCTGCATCATATCTGTCACCTGTTGACAGACACGACACATTAGACAACAAATTTTAAAGACAAATTCAAAGGGCTGTATAATATTTAGTGCTCGCCTCATAGCCCTTCAGTGAAGGTCCAACCAGAACCACAGGCCTCATGGACGGCACCACATCATATGGAGGAATGTGTTCAGTCTAAAAAAGACAAGAGTGGCACTGTCACACAGAACTACAGCATCAACTACAACTACAAAATACTAGATTAGAAACGGTTTCTGTAATGTATCAGCACAGACTGGCAACAATCTTGGTACAAACTGCTAAACTTCCTGAGATGCATGAGAAGTCAGATATTGTCTTACTTAGCATCTAGACCTGTCACAGAGACAAGTGCAATTTCTAAAGACACATATTCTACTGATTTCAGAATTGTATGCATCGATATGACCAACCATAATGAGAGATTATCGTAAAATATCTAACACAAATCCATATCAACACCTACCTGCTTTAGCTTCTGTTTGGCTTTTGAAAATAAGAGAACAGATCAGAATCAGCATTCAGAAGATTTTAGAAGCAAAACGGCTTATATTTTTACTCTATGCTGAACCTTTACTGGTTTTAACCAACTGTATTTGACTGTGGAAGCTTAACCTATGACAGAACATGCATTACGTTAAGAAGAGGAGCAAAGAATAAGAACAAAAGCAAGGGAAGAATAAACTCACTGATCTTCAGCCCTACTGATATTTTGCTCATTTGGGGCAGCATTCCCAGCCACACACATCCCCTGCAAAGCAGCATGGCGCCCAGGCCCTGTCATACTCGCTCTCACCTGCAGATGGCGGCGTGGATCTCCAACCTCCTGAGACCATGTCGCCCAGGCTTGAGGAGGAGTTACCACTTTTCCTGCGGAGAAAAAAAAAATGTTATCACCATCACAGAGCAACAGCAAATGCCTTCACAGAGCTGGTAAGCTATCTGGACATTATTAGAATTGTCAGCTTCATTAAAATATTATCATTTAGACATATTTTGGCATCTGTATTTGTACAATCTCAATTTGTATTCCCAGTTTTATAGTATGCAAGCAGTATTGGAACAATACACGACCCACTGCATGTGTATAATTCTGACATGTGCGACCACTGGACACTTTGCTTTCCCATAACAATACGGGGACTCAGTCATCAGATTTAGTGGGTGCTTCGTTTTTATATGATATAACTTGATATGTGGGCAACAAAAGATGTAGCTTATTCAAATAATAAAAGTATTATTTGGTAATACCTTACAACAAGGTTCAATTTGAGGAATAGTTCACCCAAAAATGAAAATTCGTTGAAAATGTACTCACCCTCAGGCCATCCAAAATATATATGAGTTTGTTTTTCATCAGAACAGATTTGGAGGAATTTAGCATTACATCACTTGCTCACCAGTGGATCCTCTGCAGTGAATGGGTGCCGTCAGAATGAGAGTCCAAACAGCTGATAAAAACATCACAATAATCCACAAGTAATCCACACAACTCCAGTCCATCAATTAATGTCTTCTGAAGCAAAAAACGGCATGCTTGTAAGTAACAAATCCATCATTAATATGTTTTTTAACTTCAAACCATTGCTTCTGGGTAAAATATATTCCCTCTATCCATATAATGCTTTCTGCAGTGAAAAAAGTCATCTCGTCTGAATCAGGAGAGAAATATGCACAGATCAAGCACTAGTTACAAGCAAAATCAGTCCAAAACAGTTTTAAACAAATATGCCTGTGGGTTTTGATGTGAGAGGACAACAGGGGATTGACTTTTTCACTGGAGGAAGCATTATTATGCATTATGGACCCGTATTTTGGAGTGGTGTGGATTACTTGTGGATTATTGTGATGTTTTTATCAGCTGTTTGGACTCTCATTCTGACGGTACCCATTCACTGCTGATGATCCATTGGTAAGCAAGTGATGTAATGATAAATTTCTCTAAATCTGTTCCAATGAAGAAAAAAACTCATTTACATCTCGGATGGCCTGAATTTTCAGCAAATTTTCATTTTTTGGGTAAGCTACTTCTTTAGCAGCAGTTAAAAAAATTAGTCAACATGAATTAAAAATTGCAAATACCACTAAAGAATGTATTAATCTTAGTTAATGTGCAATATTTACTAATACACCACTAAAATCAAAAGTTGTATTTGTTAATATTATTTAATAGACCTGAGCTAACAATGAACAGTTGCAAATGTGTCTGAAATAGATACAGTTGTGCACAGTCTTGACAGAGAGGGAAAGAGAGACCTCTGTTGTTTTTGCTCCTGTTTGAGTCTCATGGCCTCCAGTCGGAGGGGGCTGGGAATGAAGCTGATGTCTGCCCCCTCTTTCACCAGCCTTCCAATCCACCAGTCATTATTGTACTTCTGCAACACAAACATGAAGGAAAACATGCTCAACGCTATTATGATGAGCTATTATGGTATTATGGGCACTGTTAGCAAAGAGGACTGACCTACAAAACCTCACACATCTGTCTGCATGTATTGTACATGCAACTCACCTCTTTAATGTGCAGAAAGTCTTTGGCTTCAAAGTTTATGGCAGCACCCTGAAAAGGACAGTCCTCATCTAGAGCCCCGCAATAATTCACATTCGTCTTCACTGCGAATGCTACAGGTTTGGACTGCCAGGGAAACCAATGTTACTAAGGCCATTTTTTCAACATAAGCAACCATCAAGAAGAACCAATGAAATAATCCTCTTATGGTTTACAACTAAATGCTAAGAAAATGTTGTTGCATGAACTGCATTTGTATGCATGATCCCTTGTCCCGACACATTTCTAAAGCTACATGCAGAATGGCACTTTGTTGCTGCCCAGTGTGCCCACTGTGCAAAAAAATTTTTTTTGGAAAAAGCCCATTAAAGAAGAGCTTGAGGAACCTTGGCTCTCTCGAGCTGCAGCTGGGCCTGGCGTTCGGCTTCACGCCGATACGCCTCGCGGTCCTCCTCCGCTGACAGGTCGGAATCCGAAGGTCTGCTCGTGTACGAATCGGCTGAACCCTGCAGGAACAAGGGAAGCCAAGAACATTTGCCATAACGGAGAAATGAAAACCACAGGAAATAGCCCATGACTTGCAGTGTAAACATAGCTTAGCTATTAATAACACTCATTAATCACCACAGGAAGACAGAATACATGAAAAATAAAATAATGAACCATTTAAAACTCTTTTAGATTCTAGAAAATGGCCAGAAGTTTATTACAATGACAAAGTGACACAAGAAACATACAGGAATGTAAACAGACTTTACAATATCATTTAGGCTACACAAGTAAACATGAAGGTAAAAAGTATGTATGACATGTTCTACTTTATATGTAAAGCACATTTTTGGCATAAGTGCTCTTATTTATGTGGTACTTATAAGCAGGGTGCGAATTATACAGTGACCTTCGGGGGGGGGGAATTTTTTAATGTTTTAAATAGAGCTCTCAAGTGATTATTTAAAAAAAAAAATCGAATTACATAATATGCCGATTAATCAAATTAATCTCAAATTAATGAGATTAATTCATTAACATGCACATCATGAGCCGATTAAAGATTAAAGTTATTATTAACGATAAGTTATCGTGTTAATTTAGAAAAAAAAAAACACTGAATAGACATTACAAAAAAGTAGCTGAAATATAAGTAGCTTTAGAATAGGGCTGGACAATAATTCAATATCAATATGTATCGCGATATAACTTTTTTCAATAACGGTGATATGATTTTTAAACACATTTCCGATATTTCAACATACATTACCAGTGTTTCCCATACATTGAATTATTTGTGGCGTTTGATTTCGTTGAATAAACGCGAGCACTGCACGTTTCAAAATCAAAACGCGTCGCGGGTGTTTTATATGAATGTATCTCTGAAGGGAAAGGACTGTCTTCAGAAAAGTTTCGATGGCATTTTCATTTTATCTGATAAAGTAGCGTTCATGAGCGGAGCTGCTTTGTTTACAGCCGGGAAACCGCTAGTTTTATCACTCTAAAACGCGCCTCCTGCTGGCGGAGAATCAGTTTGCATTTTCAATAAGCCCCACGTCTCCAGCAACGTTTTTGTTGTTGCTCAATTTTTTTTGTTGGCCTTTCTCACATTTCCGGGTTTCTCAGCAGCGGAGGTCGTCATAGTTGGGTTAACTTGAAGAGCAGTGAATGGGAGAGTACCACAAATATATTTTTTGCATTCCCATTTGCTCAAATAGATGTAAGGGAAACAGGTCAATTTAGCTCAAAGGGAATCATTTAAGATTTTAAAGGGAATTTGGACAGAATCACTGTTTTACGGCTGATCACTGAGACGGCCACCGATTCATTGAATGAGCCGTATAACATCAACTCTGCAATGGATATTAATATCCAAAGTATAGTGAAAACACTATTTATTAGCACAGTAACAAGATCGGCAGTTTAAGACATTAACTTGTAAGCACAAAACACAAGATACTTCTCTTTTCAATATGAAGACATCCTGTGTCTTGTGCCTCTCTGTGGAATTCGGCTCCTCGTGTTTCAACTGTTCTTTATCAAATCTTAAATTGTCTGATTCGGTCCGATACCCTACATAGAAAAAGAAAAACTCTGCGATAGTGTTTTCATGACTTTCAATAAAAGGAAAAAAATTACAGAGACTGATAACAGCAGTAAGAAGAGAGAACAGTGTCAAATTTACTGTCACTCCCATAGACACTGCATTATAAACACCCTCGCATTAGCGTTAACTGTTTTTTTGTAATTTGATGCAAAGGTGACATAATACAAAGAATAGTGTTATAAATGTACATACATAAAAAAAAAAAATACAAAATCCATAATCAGCCTACACTACCAGTCAAAAGTTTTTGAACTGTAAGATTTTATTTTTTTCTAAAGAATTCTCTTCTGCCCAAGGATGCATTTATTTGATCCAAAGTACAGCAAAAACAGTAAAATTTTGAAATATTTTTACTATTTAAAATTGCTTTCTATTGTAATATAATTTAAAATGTAATTTATTCTTGTGATCATAACTACATTTTCAGCATCATTACTCCAGTCTTCAGTGTCACATGATCATAATACAAAGAATAGTGTTATAAATGTATATACGTTTTTTTTTTAATATTTACGATGCTGATGACCGTTAAACGCGTCATCACAGTCTTGTGAAAAGGGTCCATAATCAGCCTACACTACCAGTCAAAAGTTTTTGAACTGTAAGATTTTATTTTTTTCTAAAGAATTCTCTTCTGCCCAAGGATGCATTTATTTGATCCAAAGTACAGCAACAACAGTAAAATTTTGAAATATTTTTACTATTTAAAATTGCTTTCTATTTTGAATAGATTTTAAAATGTAATTTATTCCTGTGATGCGCAGCTGAATTTTCAGCATC